TATTTTTATAATTATCATAATTCGTAATGACAGTAATACGAGAAGTATTCAATTTCAATTCATAAACAATACATAATGTTATAGAATCATTTTAATTACAGTAGTATTCAAATTAATTTTTTTGTAAGTATAGAACTCTCATAACACTCATATTATGCCAAGACTTTTATCCTAACATATAGTTAATATTTGTTTAATTTGTTTTATACAACGCATTATCTGTTGTTTCTTGCACATCGAAGATTAGTAGTAAGAATTATCAATTTAAATTTAGCAAATTTTTGAAGTGAAATGATTTTGTTTTTAAGGTTGGGAAGCACCAGAATACGACAGTTTGGACAAGATATGTAGTTTAACAGGTTTATACAGAAGTATAAGATACCCAGCTAGAATTACAATATTTGCTCAGGTTAACGATAAAAATACTTGTGAAATCGGGGATGGAAACACAACCCCTATCAAATACAAATTCATCGACAACGATTATTATGAAGTATATAATGAACTCTATAAAGAAGTTGCTATACCAAAAGCATTACTTCTTGACGAGGTGCTCGAATGGGCAGCAGAAGAATATGTATAATAATGTCTAATATAGAATACACTAAATTAAATATTGACAATTTGGATATAAGTGCGATTGTGCTTATATCCAAATGTCAATTAATTGTCAATGTGTTTTAAAATAAACAGTTTTGAACTCGATTATAAACATATTTGTTGCTTATTGATTGACTTACCTATAATGGTGTTTATAACTTTTTAGTGTAAACATATTCCATTCAAAATGCCAGAGCTAATATAATAATGTTCGCCTTAAAAAGGATTTGAGTAAAAAAAAAAAAAAAAATGTATTAAATATTCATTAAATTTAAACCTAACAAAAAGAAATGCCTAAGCACTGTCGTACACGATATGGGCTACAAAAATGTTCATTGGTTTTTGTACCGTCGCTCCGCTCAACAATTAGATCAGCGCCTAAGTAATATAACATTAGATAGAGTAAAGTAATTTGTTTTTCTTTATGCGCAATCATAATCTGACGGCGAACGAAGTGTAAAGATATGAATGTATTTTGTAACTTAAGTACATAATCTTATTATCCAAATGAAACATGTTTTTTTTATACTAGCTACCCGTGCTCTCAAAGTTATTTGCATAGTAGGCACGGGGAGGTCACAGGTTTACAGGAATTATAACAACTGAAAGTGATAAAATCACTTTCGAATAAATGCTTTGATATGAATCAGTTGTTAGTATTTTCAAACCAGTAAAGTCCAAACCAAGCACAATATAATCCAGCAAAGTTACAAAGTATTAAATTGAGGTGCTGTATTTACAAATCAGCTTCAAAGCGTTCATTTATAAGTGATTTTATGACAAGGTGTACAGGAATTATTATTAATAAAAGTGATGAAATTACTTTCAAATAAACGCTTTGATGATAATTTGTAAGCACTGCACCTCACTTAAGTTCTTTCTTAATATGCTGGGTTATGCTGTGCTTGGTTTGGACTTAACTTAACTTTGAAAAATACTAACTACTGATTCACATCGAATCGTTTATTCGAAAGTAATTTTATCACTTTCAGTTGTAATAATTCCTGTAAACCTGTGACCACCCCGTCCCTACTGTGCCCCGACCACACCATGTCCCGTCCCCACTGTACTGGCTTTTTTTGTATTTTAAATGATATTTATTAATATGTACTAGTAATCAGAATTCATAATATCTAGTTTCGAAAAAGTATTTTGCATGCTAAGTGCTGATTAACTGAAGTGTAAGTCTAGCTATCTGTCAGATCAGAAACGTTCTACTACTAATAAAGCGAGTGTGCTACTTTCTTGAAGTATAATTTTTTTTTTTTTTTTATAATTTCAAATTTATATAATATGTTGAAAATCAAGTATCTGGTGTTGCTTACTTCACGGGCTTAGTAAGCAAGGGTCAAAAACAGAAAGAAATGTTTAGAAGTCAGTCAGCTAAATGGTGAACAAAATTGACAGATGTATAAAAAAAATAATCATTAGTGAAACCTTTTTAATTCTGATTATTTATAATAATTATAAGTATGCGTTATCAACAAATCAATTCCTGTTTTTAGGCTACCTCAACACTTGTTAAATTGTAAACGTACCATTATAATAATTATTGTTAGTTATCCAATATAATATACTCGTATATTATCATACAGAGAATAAATATCATCGAGTGATATCATAATTTTTAATTTACAGTCACTTGTAATATAAAAATACTGAGAATATTGAACAACAAAATTAATCAAACGTTTCCATTTCCATCAGGCGTATAAAAAAAAACGCAGGAAAGAGTGGAAACATAATTAAAAAATAATATTTTTCTTATACGAATGAAACAACGGAAACTGTTATCAGTATGTACGGATGACGGCGCCGTCACTTCTTCACGCTTAAATATAATAGATATCAAACACCGTACAACTGTTATAATATTTCACTAGATTGTGCAATATATCCTACCACCATTATCCACTCACCGCTTCAAATACAAAAAAAAAAAAAAGATTTATAAAATAAAAAAAAGAAGCAGGGAGTTGCTCGTTGTCATAGCGACACAACATACTGCTACAAAAATAGAACTAATTAATAAAAGATGATATAAAAATAAAGAATTATAACAATGAAAATGTTCAGAATATAAGTGCGTACATTGGAGTACTATCTTGGCATAGGTTAACACTAATAGGTGATATGGATGATCTTAGAGCGATTCCACCTTTTATCTTGAATGGCACAACGTAGACAACCATCGACAAGGAAAGCATTGACGTGTATCCCCCCGCATTTCTAATGTAAATCCCCGTTGTAAATCTGTGCATTGTATGTTAAATCCAAGCACATTATAAAGTAGGGAAGTATTAAAGTGAGGTGCATCTACAAATTTGCACCAGGGAGTTTAGTAAAAAGTGATTTTATCATTTTTAGTTGTAATAATTCCTGTAAATCTGTGACCTTCCCGTCACCACTATGCCCCAACCCAACTGTACTGGTTTTTTAGTGTTTTATGTTTTTACAATTAAAAATATGTGAGTTCGTCGTATTGTAAAAAGTAGTAAAATAGTACTCGAGGTAGCAAACTACCGTCTACCAATGAGCACTCAATTATTTTATATTGATTATACATCACTTTGGGCTGTTTGCAAAAAAAAAAACGCTGAACATAAGTAGGTAAAATCAATTTTAGAAATTAGCGTCAAGTATAGAGTAATACATAATATGAATAAAGAAATGCAAATAAAAATAAATTTTTTTCCTATTTTAAAAAAAAAAAACACTAATCACTGTTTTTTTCAACAAAGTACACTTTTTTTGTGATGTTCAATGGTTTGTACATGTATTGCGAATGACCGAGCAATACGCCACACCACCACTGCGTCGGTTTCGGTTTTAATATGTTATGAAACATTATAAACAAGTAAAACATACAAAATAGGTACGGGTTCTTACCGCAAAAATGGCATACAAAAAAAAAACATTTTAAATTCTATAATGTAAGCATATGTTGCACAAATTTTTACAAAACCAATAACTGAGTAGTAAATAGTTTAGATTGTGTTTTTAGAGTATTATGAATATTTGTGTGAGTCATAATGAAAAACGGCTAATGTTGCTTGTGTTAATAAATCCACATAAGCAACTACTGCAGTAATTTTATTGTTCCGGTCGCCAAATAAGCCCATCGACAAGTCTTATTATTAGTTGTCTTAATAGTTAAATTATTCCAAAAAGTCAGTAAGTCACGCTGTCAAACTTCAAATCTCGTAAGTACAATTCGAATTTATTTTTATTAGGTTTTTCTATTTTTCAATATTGTATTATGTTCGTGTGTAGGTCTCCTACACCTTTTACTGATTTCATTGTATAGCGAGTCCATAAGTAAGTTATACTATCAAAATTTCAAGGTTGTAAGCACACTTTTAGTCAGAGATGGGGGAATTTCAAACAAATAATTAGGATAAAAATTGGGTTCTCTATTTCATATCATACCTTACAAGTCCAGTTTCTTTGTAATAGGTTTTATTGTAAATACATTTTAAAATAAATACCAATCTTGAAAAAATTAATCAAAAAAGTGTAGTAAGGTATAGTTGATCCAGAAACAAAAACAGATTAACAGTAAAATAAAAGGCGTTTAATCTTATTTTTTTTCACAGTTAAAATGAAACTTCACTGCTTATTAATATCGACTGCCATTGTACAAGTTTTGGCCTCCTCAATTATAGGTAATTATTTAATTTTTACACATTTCTATACAATGAAGTTCATAAAAAAAAATTCAATTATTCATTTTTATTTACAGAAGAATATAAAATGACAGTTTTCCATGCAAGTCAGTAACATTTTTTCATAAAAAATAACTTTTAGGCTATTAAATTTCAATATTTGTATACGAATGATTTCAGACATACACTTGGAGCGGGCTTCTACTAACAGTAAGATATACTTAATATGAACTCTCACCGATATAAAACTGTTTTGTTATGTTACTTGTTTTTTCTAGATATTGGATTGTTGCATGTAATTAAGAATATTGTTATTGGAAATTCAACAATGGGTAGTCTTAGTATTAAAATAAATTAAAAAAAATAAAATATGCGTAACTAGAAAACAACATAATTAAATGATAAAAATTGTGTTTATTTATGCACATTTGTTAGTGTTTTAAATCAAATATTTTACTATAAAAACTAAGTGGAATATTACTTACAGACAAAACTGATTTTACCTTTTTAAAACTAATCCAATCTTAGTACTAGTATTTTATACAACTCTGCACATTATTACTTTTAAACATATTTGTCTATAATGTTCACTTAATGTAATAGGTAAACAATAAAACCATTTATATTTTTTCAAACCATGCATATAATTATTCTACTTAAATCTCCTTCTTCTATTTTTTAAAAGTTATTCTAATGAACAAAACCTAATATCATCAATTGATCATTTTAGAAGAAATTGCTTTCATGTTGGCTGTACCAGGTAATCATTTTTAAAACTTATATTGAACAAAGTTTCTAAAAGCTGTTTCATAATTGTTCAATTTATAATATTTTTGTTTTAATTTAAGAATTAGCTACCCCTGGATACTTAGAAGGTAACCGTGTGTCTATATTCCATATTGTATTGCTTAAATAGTTTAATCAGAATGGTGTTTATATTTATAATACAAAATATATTATTCATAAAGTTATAGTACAATATATTTCTATCATAAGAAAATATTTACATTATACTTATATATTTTTTTTAATTTTAGGAGACAAATGGGACCAGGTTTTTTTACAAACAGAAATAATTCGTTCCACATGTAATTATAAAATTGTTTATCAATTTTCTCGAACAATTTTCAAAGTTTTTAATTACTAACTTGACAACAATTTTAATAATTCAATTACAATTCAAGAGTGTTATACTAAAAATATAAAAAAAAACGAATTTTTATTTATTGTTTGATTTATTTATTTCTTATATTTTGTTACAGATCAGCCTGTACCAACTATAGATGACAACGAAGGTGAGAACACATTTATTCATTGGTTCTAAATAGATCTTAAAAAATAATTTATTATGCGAAATTTATATAAGTTAACTGACATTTATTTTTCGATTTATTTTTGAAATAAAAAACAGTTTAGTAGTGAAAAGAAATGATCATTAAAAACATTTATCATTTGAATAATCGAATAATGTTATTCGAAAAAATTATTTCAAATTATTTGTTTGTATTTTTATACATATTATAGTTTTTTTTTAAATTATATTATTTATAATTGAAAATTTTGAATCAATAGTTTTCAATTTATTAAAAATTAAATTTAGATGGGAGTAACGGTGGAGTGTACAGATTATCTACATGAATTACTAAATCACACTTCATTTTCCATACTAAATTTTAAACTTTAATGAGATTAAAACTGTTTACTTAAAACTAGTTATCGGTCTGTCAAAAGTTTCAACAAATTATTTAAATATAAAAAGTTAATGAAATGTATACATTACCATTTAAGTTTCATAAGCTGATAAAGCGCTAGAAAATACTAAAAAAAGGTAAAAAAAAATGAGTACATATTATCAAATGTTCTAATATAACATAATTATGTTTTCAAAAAAAAAAAACATAACAAAATTAGAATTATTTTGAGAGTAATCTAGTGTACAGTGTTAAAATAATAATCCGGTTTACTTAAATTGTCATCAGATACCTACTCATTGTTTATTCATTCAAACTTGTACTTGGTTACCTGGAAAACTATTATATTGCAAATGTGATTTTTCCTTTTTTTGGAGTTTTCCATATTTATAAATTAATTTTTTAATTATTTTATATTGTCAGCTATATCTCACACTGTAGACCTATTTTTGCCTCGTTTTTACACTCATGTCATAAAACTACGCCCAAAAGAGTAAAAATTAAAAAAAAATTTTCCCTACCATAAAACACATAGTTGTCATTACAATTCTTTTATCAATATTTGTACTTTTACAAACTCGTATCGAAAGGTGTCTGTTCGAAAGTATTTTATCACTTTCAGCTATAATTAATACTGTCGAATTATGACTTCAACGACCCAATAACCTCCGTCTCCATTGTATTGCCCATTTTGTTTTGCTTTTTTTTTTTTTGTTAACAACTTAATATTGCAGGTTTTGAAGATCTTGTATCGTCTCATTATAACATTGATAAGACAGTTGAAAATATCGTTAGCCTCGCAGACTATGGTAAATATTAATATATGCGTGTAATGGTTCTCTTTATATTTGTAATTATATTTGAATGTTAATTTATCACACTCAATTAAAATAAACCTACCCTCACCGCCCTAAAAAATTGAGTCTCCTCTTTGCCCCAACAAACTGGGCTGGCTTTTTTGATCTTTTATTTTATCGACGAAAATGTAATTCATTAATTTTTGCAGGTTTTATAATGGGAATTCTCGGAAGTGACAGAAGATTTATTTTAAAAGATGCTACAAAAGATTTAATCTTTGCATTATATTGTAAGTATTTATAATTGCTTTGTAATACACAAATTTATACTATTAAGTATATAAATTTATAAATTTTGTAACACTATACAGTTTGTATGTATAGTAAAATAGTAATAGGAATGGAAGTTCGGTATTTGAATAAAACAACCCAAGTAAATAAACTGATTAACACACGACTATCGATAAACACATATAATTATTACAATAATAGATTACAATATTATTACATAGAGTATAATAACAGTGTGATATACTACATAGTATTCAATTACAATTCATAAGTAATACATAATAATTAATATCATAGGACCATTTTTATTACAGTACCACACAAATTAAGTTTTTTGTGAGCATAGAACTCTCATAACACAAAGGATACATATTATGCCAAGACACGCCTTATCCTAACATACAGTTATTGGTAACATTATGATAACACCTTTTTTTGTCAATTTATTTCCCAAAGCCCTTTTATGTCCATCACTTAGGCGATGAGTTTTTACTTAATTTATTACAAAAGATAATTTAAGAAAAACCGTTCACAACATTATAACAATAATATAACCAACATAATTTCTAAACAATTAAACTAGTATTAATGGTTCTAAATTTCGAATAAAAACAATTCTGAAACAGACTACTGTTCCTTTTTTTATATACATTTTATTTAATGAATTACAGGTTATAAATTACAAGGTGTTAGATCATGTTCGCTCATTTCAAAATGATTGACTGAGAGTAACATGGCTGTACAATACATTTTCCTGTGTATTTCAAATGCATTGCTATAAATTGTTTCATACACATGTATTAGCTGTTATGTCATGAATAATAAATACTATAAGTAATTGGGTATCTAATTGTAATAAAGTTTTGAAAAGATATTTTTTATTTTTTTAAGATGGAGCTGTACCAGAAATTGACACTTTTGCCAAGTTTTGCCGTATATTAGGTTTATTCAAAAATATAAATTTCCCAACTTCAATTATATTAACTGCCGATGTGGACGATAATGATACTTGCACTATAACAGACTCAAAAGGAGGAATTAGCAAATACAGATTGGTCGATGACATACTTTGTGAAGTACAAGTCGATCAAGTTGATAATGTAATAGAATCATTTACTTTTCAGTTCATCAATTGGTAAGATCAGAATGCTAGACCAACAGTCGAAGTTAAAACACAATAAATAATGTATAATATTAATTGCGTTAAAAAATTAAACAACTTGGATATTACTACAGTTTCTATTTTATTTCAGTTATATTTTATTACTGCACTAAAATCCAAATAACTTGAATGTGTGTTATAATAAATGGTTTTGTTCTCTATTATAATCAAATTTCATATTTTTTGATTGACCTACCTATATTAAATATGAATCTAAACACTTTTTAACTAAACTAAAAAATGGCCAAACACAATCGAAAAATGATGAAATTACAAAAACATTTAATTGGTTTCTGCACCATTGGTTAACCTAATAATTAGGCAAGTACCTAAGTATGGTATTTATCATCTTGAACTTGATGTCATAATAAAATATATCAATGACGCCTTCAGTTTTACTACTAATGGTAGTCTTTTAGTAATTTTTTTAGTTTTATCGTAAACATACCAAAAAGTTATAAAATCACACACGAGTTGAAACTATTTTTTTATTGGAGCACATTATTCAGTAAGTATAATTAAGGCTTCCTCGGTGAGTGCTTAGACACACCAACTAAGATATACAAATGAGAACTCTTCTGTAAATTTTTAATAAAATATATCAAAACTTACTTAATTTACTTATATATGTATACTAGTACTTTTGACAAGGAATCTTGTAGGGATATACATTTATTCCAAGTAGGGAATTTCATTCTGAAAATAATAGATACTCTAGACCATGTGGGCAGTTACAACCAACATGACATTCTACACCTGGGAAAAAATAAAATGTTGGTATAAATATAATTGTTATTGCAAAACGTTTCCTTGACTCCTATGAAGTATTTTATACCATAAGGAAAAACAACATTTATTATTATTGTGGGTACACAATACACCCACTTACACGAATTATTAATTGTTATTAATCCGATATAGTTTTGTCTTTAGTAGATACTTATAATATTAATTGCTTATATTTTTCTTTGACACGAGGAAAATAAGTTTGCGGCCTTTCTTTAAAACTTTATTTTAATGAGATGAGCGTGTAAAAATGTAATAGAAAGAGTAGCTCCAAAATGTTGTTGCAATTAGTTCACTAAATAAAATGAGTAAAATAACCACGGTGTAAATAATTTGTGTAACATTTTTATAGACACCATTTAAAAAAAAATAAGGTAAAATTTATAAAATATTTTGTTAAACCTATGATTTGGCGCCTAGAGAATATGAGGACTTGACGGCTTTGGGTCCTAATGTGGAGTTGTTTTTAGGTTTTATAAGAAATAAATAGGCTAGAGCGTGACAGCTATTTGTAATAATAATATTATGACAAGTAGGAGTCTGAGTATTTAATGAAATAACAAAAATCTATTGATTTTTATACTGTAACTAATGAAAAATAGAATAATGTACATTTTAATATTATAGAATATTGCATATTTTTGGAAAATGGCTTGGATTTAAAATAACAGGATATCACAAGTCGGTTGCATATTGGTTGGACGATACATGAGGAAAACTTATGTGCTAAGTGTTAGTAAACCCCAATTTTGACATGTGCTGTTATCATTATAACAGACCTCTGCACTTGTATCCACAAACGCGGATTATTTATTAGATTCGTTTCGTGAAATAGATAATTAATTACTTTTTAAATACAATTTGAATCATTAAATCATAATACATTTAAGATATTAGATTTTATTCCCGTGACACTTTTGGCACTACGAATGTGTACAATATTTAGTCAATGTGTTATTATGTCTTCGTTATTGGTAAACTCTTGGGTAGTTAAAATATATTTATTTTAAAAACTACAACAAAAATCGATTTTAAGACTTGATTAACCATTATTAATTAATAATTCGATCGGGAATAATAAACAGGCGGACAAAACTGTGGACTAAATGCTCTAAATCTTAACCAATGATAAATAAAATAAATTTTTTATAGTTTTTCACTTATAATTAAATTATTATTAACTTAATTAATTATTGCTTATGGCGTATGCTAAACAAATAGTAAACCATAGTTTACATTTTTTTATTATTATGAAGAAAAATTATTTTTATAAACCATAAATTATGTAGGTACAATATTTTATCGATAAAATGGCACAGGTGCACAAGAAAATTATTAAAATTGTGTAATGCAAACATTATTTTAAAAGCGATTGTAATAATTAATAACACAAAATAAAAATGATTAAATTTCGCTACAGACTAATGCAAATATGTTTTTACAAGAAAATGTGTTTGAATATCTCAAGATAAATTAAAATTTTACCAGGTTTTGGCCACGTTATAGATCTATTGCGAAGCGCAAGAAGAACACTTCAACGTAGATACTTATCTAACTAATATTATAATTCATACTTGTCTTATAAAATCCAACATAAATATTGTAAGTACATACACTTTTTCTTTGGTTTTTCTATTTTTTTCCATTTTTATCTAGGCCTTCAATATCATATTAGCTACTGGGCCACTTTTATTACTTATTAAATATTACATAAATTGTATATAAATAATAATCCGTGAGATGACAAGTTAAATAATGTTAATACGTTTCTTTCAAAACCTTTTAAAGTTTCTCTTCCTTCTAGGGGAACAGATTAATGATAGAAAACTTATGTAAAATTAATCAGCTATATATAGCGGTAGTCATAGGTATAAATTACGATTAGAGAAGTAATGTGCAAGCGAGTTCTCTATGGTAATGTGAATAAATCACGATATAAATTTCAATGGTTGAGAGCGTCTTATTTAGTTTTACACAGCAGGCAAGGAAACCTAGTTGCGCCACTGCTGAGTGCCCCAACTATTATTTTCTTGAAGCTACCATTTTCATTTGCATTCTCCTATCCTATCGTTTGTACCTTTACAACAACTATTTTCGGAGTTCTGGTTATCATTCAAGGGAAAAGGAGTTCAGTAATTAGTAATGTACGATGGATATGAAATAAAACATGATAAACAGTAAAAAATAAAAACACATGAATAGTAAATAAAAAACTATTAGGCTACACAACGAAGCTAATGACTAACTGACGTCTGTGTCTAAAATAAAAAGCGTTTAACTGTATTATTTTTCACAGTCAAAATGATGAAACTCCACTGCTTATTAATATCGACTGCCATCGTACAAGTTTTGGCCTCTCTGAGTTTCAGTAACTATTTAATTTATACACGTACGTACACAAAGTAGTTCATCAAAATGTAATAATTGATTTTTTGCTACAGGAGATTATAAGCGGGCAGTTTTTAACGCAAGTCAGTAAAATTGTTTTTTTTTTTTAAATAACCTTTATGTTATTAAATTTTACAATTTTTATACATATGATTTATTTTATGTATTACAGACAGACACTTGGAGCGGGCTATTACTAACAGTAAGATATACTTAATATGAACACACCGATATCAAATTGTTTTGCCATGTTCGTCTGAATTATAAATCAAAAACTATAATTTCTCAAATCTGTCAACATTAAGTATATACGAGGGATATAATATTAGTATTTCAAATATACGTTATTTATTAAAACCAAATTATTTTTATTTTTACTCGAAACATCAGTTTCTACAATTTACGTAGAGCATTACACGGCTATAGGCGGTGACTATTTAACCTATCATGTTGCTTAGTGTAGATCAATAGAACTCACTTAAAGCATAGCGTAATCTTATTCTGATCTATATCTATGAGTATTACAGTTTAATAGAAACTTTAATTATAGCTCAAACTATTATTTGTTTTTTCTAGATATTGGGTTGATGCAAGTAGTTACAAACATTGTTCTTGGAGATTCAACAATAGGTATTTAAAGTAATAAAATAATTTTGAAAAAACAAGGTATGGATTGCTAATAGAAAACATATATGAAAGTGTTATAAAAATTGTAACAACGGTTTATCTTTTTGCGAATTTATTAGTGTTTTAAATCAAATATTTTACTATAAAACCTAAATGGAATATTTCAAGCAAACAAAACTTATTTTACCAACCGTAATACTCGTATGTTATACTACTCGCCACTTTTAATTTAGACATTATTTACTCGATGTAATAGGTATACAATAAAATCATTTACAAATCTCTTGAATAAATAATACATATGTTTGTTATACTATAATCTTCATCTTCTAGTTTTTTATAGCTCTTCTATTAACATAAAATCTAATATCATCAATTTAAAATTTCAGAAGAAATTGTTTTATTGTTGGCTGTACCGGGTAATAATTTTTTTAAATATTTTTTGGACGATGTTCCTCATAGCTGTTTGATAAAAATTAAATATATAGTATTTTCGTTTCAATTTCAGAATTAGCTACACCTAGATTCTTAGACGGTAATCATGCTCATATATTCCATATGTTTATTGCTTAAATTGTCTAATCAGAGTAGTAAATACATTTATAATACATATTAAGATCATTCATATATCTTGATTTACATCATAAGAAAATGAGTACATTATATTTGTTGTTTTTAAATTTAGGAGACAAATGTGACCAGACTTTTTTACAAGCAAAAATAGCCCATTTCACATGTAATTATAAACTTTATCAATTTTCAAAATTAAATTTTACTCAGTTTTGAATTGGCATTGTCAATAATTTACATATTCCACTTGAAGTGCGAAGATGGTAAACAAGGCGGGGTCTAAGGGGCCGATAATCTCCCTGGTTAGACCCAGAGTGCGGGATTTTATTAAAGACTTGATGATCATTTGAAATATTGTTTAAATTGTTTTGCTATATTTTCCATTTAAATATTGGTCCAAGGAATCTTCGTTTTAGATTGGCTGTTATAGATAAAATGTAAAAAAAAATGATTTTTATTTGATGTATGATAATTTAATTTCTACATTTTTGTTACAGTTCAGCCTGTGCCAATTATAGATAACGAAGCAAGTAATAACGCATTCATTTAATATTCGTAAATATACCTTAGAGCTTAAATTAATATTCGAAATTTATGTTAAAAGTGTTAATTGACATTTTTCAATTGATTTCCGTAGTTAAAAAAACAGACAGGTGTTTCCCTTTTTTGGGGATTTTCTAGATTTTTAAAAACATTTTTTAAGTATTTTATATTGTCAGCTATAGCTCACACTATAGTTCTACGTTTTCATTCAACACTAATGTCATAAAACTACGCCCAAAGGAGTAAAAATAAAAATAAAACATTTTCCCTACCTTAAAGAACATAATTGTTATCATTACAATAATTCTTTTATCGATAATTGTACTTCTACTAATACAAACTCGGACCAAAGCGTTTATTTGAAAGTAGTTTTATCACTTAGCCTAAAATAAATAGTGTCGAATTATGACCTCAACGCCCCATTAAACTCAGTCTCCACTAAGCCCAGACTTCTTTGTTTTGTTTTTCTTTTTAGTTACCAAATAGTTTTTTTTTACAGATTTTGGCGATATGGTATTGGCATATCTTGGAGTTAATAAAAGATCGTTGATTGGAGAACCTAGAAAATTGTTCCTCCGTGCAAGTAAATATTAATATATGCGTATAATGGTTTTCTTCTTATTTGCAGTTATGCCATTTTATTATGTACTATTTAAATGAAAAATGTATAATAAGTTTTTTTAATAACTACCGAATAAACTGTACGCGAGACTATAGAGTAGACCCATAAAAAGTATAATTAAAACTAGAGATTGCAGAATATCGAATACTTACGGTCTGGCACTAAGAACCGTTAAGTTTTAAGTTTAGACCTTCACTCCAAGAGGTTAAGCGATTGAGATTTACTTGTACTTACAGTCAGATATAGAAACAATACACTTCATCAGTCTCGTGTCGTTTGCAAAGACGAGTAATTTGGAATGCAATAACACAGAAGGCACACTATTAACCAATATAGAAAAAAGAAGAGGTGACAAAATAGCGCCATAAATAACACCAGACGACGGTGTTGAGACTACTGCTTTAGTAGCGAGGTACATCATTAATGGGAACCATTGTAAGAGTATCATTATTCAATCGATTATTCCGGGGAAAATTATGAAAAATTTAAAACAGGATTAAAACGATAAAACAGACACGATTAAAACCAGTCTCGACTCTATAAATTTAATTACGTTTAATTACATTTCTTAGATAAGAGATTAGAGGAAAATCGCGGAAGTTAGTAAGATATAAAGAAGTATTAAGATTTGCAAATAAGATAATCTAATGTCAAATGTATTAGAGATAATATTATTACATAGAAAGAATCCACGAAAGCCAAAAACTTTGGGAATAAAAGGGAAACGTATGCTAGTAGTCAAAGATTAAGATAAACCAGAATCATCATTAAACCAGGATGTTTCCGGAGTTAAAATCACCACAACATAAGAAAGACAATTTGTATACTGCACAAAGAATTAACGGACTCGGCATAAGAATGATACTTCATATCAAGAGGACTATTAAAAGAGAGGCAAACACCATTTACATATATTAAATGTAATTTAGTCCAGATCAAATTAAACAAGAACGTGTTGGACATTATTGACATTTGAACTCTTCACGAAAGGCACGCAATAGTACACATTCCCTATGAGTTTTTCCGAATTAGTTTAAGTTCAAGTATAACAATAGGGGTATTTTTCCTTGTAGAATTAAAAGCCAAAAGAACACCATTAACCTCTCTTTTATTATTGAAGATTTATTTCCATAGGTCAAACGATTGATTAATATGTCGAATTACTTTGCAATCGCTGACAGCAAAATAGACGACTTTAATAGTCTAGAGGCTAAATTATTATTCTTGTCGTATGAGATCCTAGAAATTACATCATATAAAGTTGATTTAGGAATACCGCGGATAATTAGGTTTGACCAGTCCAGTTCTCGATCAGGAAATTTATGTAAAGCTGTGATACAGCAGCAGAAGAAGATTAAGTCAAAATTGGATCACGGGAATCAAGATTGACTAATCTATCTTTTAAAGACATACGTTCACTCCGTAATCTAACATTCTCCTTTTGTACGCTATTGATTTGACATAGTAATGAAGTAAGTCTGTTATTAACCTTATCAAATTGTCAAAATTGTGATTGACTCAAATTGTTACATTGGTCAGTCGTTTTATATTGCTCTTTGGACAAGGACGACATTGCACGCATTAGATAAACCAAAGAGGTTGAAGAAGGATCATAGGAACTTTTAACAAAACAAGAAAATCCCCGAACGTGTTTTCATAGGTGAACGCCTAAATGAATTAACAGAACTTACATTAATTTATGAGAAAAAAAACGCAAAAGAGAGCAAAGTATACCTCTGAGAAAAATCACAAAATTATTGTATATTTATTATTTGGTATTTTATCCAAATTTTCATGGTATATACTGTATTTTTTAGAAGTACTATAAACGTTGGCACACCAAAAAAATATCAAAAACTCATACCCCAAGGAGGGGTGGACATTTTTCTTTATTTCAATTGTTTTAGGTCTGAAAATAAGACAGAAGTTTTCTTGTTGATGTTTAAACAACATCTGTAGTAAAAACTTTTCACACTTTTACCGTTGGTAAAGTTCAAGTAGATACGTGAGTGTAAATCTATAGTCAACAGGTATCTGTTAAATAGTTTATTACCTGTGAAGTTCATTGCGATTCATGGAAAACAATGACGACAAATGATTGTAGACAGACCATCAACGTCGTACACATCCCTTAATGGAAATGTAATTTTAGGAAAATTATTGTCATTAAAATAATTTTATCGAAATTTGTACTCCTATCATTACTTTCTCGCGTCGAAATTTTGATTTGATAATTAATTCATCATTTTCAGTTATAACAAATAACTAAATATACCCCGACACCACTGAACTGGTATTTTTATTCTTATATTTTGTTATTAACATTGTATTTCGTTAATTATTGCAGGTAATTTATTGCCATATCTTGGAACCGCTAGAAGATGTACTATGAAACTTGTTACAATACAATTGTTCACTGCAATATTTCGTAAATATTAATATAGAATAATAATGATTTTTTTTCTATAATTATGTCTCTTTGATTACTATTATAATGATGAATTTATATTTCTTTTTCAATAACATTATTTTAATATTAATAAAAAATAGTAATAATGATAAAAATATTCAATTACAATATTATATATAATACATAATATCATAGATTCATTTAAATTACGGTAGTAATGCACGATACTATTTTTTTTTTAATGTATTTCAATAAATGAAGAGTGTTACAGAGTGTTTGATTATATTCCCTCATTTATAAATTTTTGACTAAAAAACATGGCTGTATAATACGATAACCTGTATATTCTAAGTACATCTCACTAATTGATTTTATACATATATATATAGGGTGATTCTTTTATCATGAACCAGACAATATCTCACTAGGTTTAATTGATAATTGAACTTTTTTTTTCATATTGTTTTTATACAATGTGATTTCAGTTTTTCATAATTTTGTTTTTGTTATTACCCCCCTCCCAAGTTAGATTTTTTGATAGCAACTTTTGAAACTTAAACGGTAACGTATATCTTTTATTACCTTTTTAAATAGAGAATAATGTATTACAAATTTTGACTGGTCGATAACCAGTTTTAGATAACTATTTTTGAAGTTATAATAGTTTAAAAGGTAGGATGAGAGGGTAAGTGTGGTTCGCGCAGATAACAATAATACTACACTCCACTTCCCCTCTCATGTTAACTTTTAAAATCTTATAACTTCAAAAATAGTTATCCGGAACTGGTTATCGACCAGTCAAAATTTGTAATACATTATTCTCTATTTAAAAATGTAATAAAAGATATACGTTACCGTTTAAGTTTCAAAAGTTGCTATCAAAAATTCTAAGTTGGAAGGAGGGAAAAACAAAAAAAAATTCAATTATTAATTAAGTGAGATATTGACTGGTTCGTGATAAAAGAATCACCCTGTATTAGCTGTTGTTTATTGTACATTAATGTCTAGTAGTAATTAGTAATCTAAGTTTAGCAAATTTATTAAGTGATATTTTTTTGTTTTTAAGGTGGAGAAGCTCCAGATTACGACAATTTTGGCAAGATATGTTCTCTAATATGTTTATACAGAAGTATAAGACACCCAGTTAGAATTATAAGACATGCCAATGTTGACGATAATGGTGTTTGTAATATCAGAGATAGAACCAGAGTGATTAAACAATACAAATTCGTCAACAATGATTATTATGAAGTACGTACAAACGCTGATCAAGATATTACACTAAAAGCATTACTTCGCGACCAGGTGACTGAATGGGCAGCAGAGGGAATTGTTCCATAAGGTGTAATATTTAATACATAAAATTAATTGACAATTTGGTTATAACTGCGTTTGTACTTATATTTAAATACTCAGTTAATTGTCACTGTATTTTAAAATAAACAGATTTGTTCTAGATTATAAACACATTTGGGACTTATTGATTCATTTGTCTATATTGATGTTTGATAGTTTTCAACGTAAACAGATTTGATTCAGAGCGCCAGAGCTAATATTAAGTACGCCTTAAAAAAGACTTAAATCAAAACAAAAACCACAATCAAAAAATTATTCTGAATTATTTTTTTGTTATTAATTTCTATAGAGAATAAAAAATGTTTTCAGAAAGCTGAGATTATTTTTTGATAAAAAATTGATTTATATTTTTTTTTTATGGCCGAAGATAAAATTAAAATATGATAAAAAGAAGTGTCAAGAAAATAACTAAAACAACTATTTACGACCACGGCCACTTACTATGTTACTAAGCTATTCTTAGGGTCGTAGAAAAATTAATACAAAAAAAAATACAGAATAAATACAAAATAATCGTTATGACTTGTATGTTTAAAAATTAATTTTAGACTAACATTATTTGTAACTTTTATGGTCCGAATCCGATATAATGTAATTATTCAAGCTCTAATAGTATTAAAATGTACAGGATGCTTCGTAATAATGCCGTCTAAAACTCAAGCAAGCGAATGGTTTTGTTTATAATAACTATACAGAATCTGTGCATATTGGTTTGCATATTATTTGTATGTAGTATAACGGTATTTTACAAATTTTACTTACAGTTGTTATATTTAATACTATAGGTTATAAGAAACGTGTAAACATGAAAAAATATTTAATAACAATTGGTTTTTATCTCGCTATTTAGTTTATTTGTATCAACCTTTAGTTACAAATTACTCAGGGGCTTAAGGGTAATAAAGTGTTAGTGTTAAAAAGGACATCAGTCGAAATTGTGGATCAAATGCCATGTATTTTATTTATCACTAAGCAAAGTACATTCCTTTTAGTGTTTTACTTATAAATTGCATTCATAATTCCGTATTATAACGTGTGCTAAAAAAATAGTAAACCATAGTTACTATAATTTACAAGCGATTGTAAGAAATATAATTAAAGAAAAAAAGTTCAAATTTTTCTACAGTCTAATGCAAATATGTTATCACATGACTATTTGTACACCTAAAAAAAAAACTGATTTTACAGTTTTGGTCGACATACACCATTATTGACAAGTTACAAGGACAACATTTTAACACAGATAGTTACACGATTTGATAGAATTCATACTTGTATTATAAATTCTATATTTGTATGTATTTGGGAAAAAAATACTATCTAACAAAAATATTGTAAGTACACTTTTCATTATTTTTTTAACTTTTTTATTTTTGTATCTAGACCGGCAGAAACATATGAACACAAGGCTACTTTTATTAGTTATTTACAAAAATGTTATAACAAAGGTATGTCATTGAGTCAAAAATTTAAAAATGTTAGCCCGGTCCCGATCAAGAAGAATGACTTGAACATTAAAACCATATTTTTCTACCCAATACAACGACATGCTATAACTTCTCGACATATAGTCGAATAATTTTTAAAATTGTGTAGAATTTTATTTTGTTAAAACACTTGCAGATACACACTAATAAACTAAGAATAGGTGTTCGGGCATTATCTCGACCACAGCCACTCCACACCACCGTAGTGCCCATCAACACCCACTGCACCGTACTACTTTCACTAATAATTTTGTTGATACCGCGCCACCGTACCGTGCTGCATTTTGGCTAACGCTTTACCGTTTTTTTTTGTTGTTTCTTTTGGCCATTCTTAAACTGGACCGTTTATTAACACCGTATTTTATTAATATTGTTTTTACGTTGTTATTTCACCGTCGTCTGAAATCAACCGTCTGAATAGTAGTTTGTTATAATAATTAATTTCCGTGTTGGATTTTTTTAAAACCCTCTATACAGTCCTTCAAAATACCGAACATTATTTGGTCCTTCAGAACCTAGGATCTGCAAATCTTAAGTGATTGAGACTAGTAAAGAGCAGTTATAATTAATATAAGTTAGAGACACAATTATGTTTCTTCTCGGTTATGTACAGCTTTTTTTAATATTATAAAGTGATTGTCTCAATTTTGTTTGTTCAGCATTGAAAGAAAATTATTTATCGAGTTAAATTATACAAATTTATTAAGTGATTCTAAATAATTGGTTTGTTCATCGCTGCTTGTGAGTTATAATTATTTTAATTGTTACCGTTTATTTTTTAATAATAAGTACTGCGCCGTTCGGTTTTTTTATTAAGTTGTACTTTGGATCGTGAAGAGTTGTATTGGTTTTAAAAGTTTGAGTTTATTATTCACCGGCTGTACTTACTCCGTCCCGCGAAGGCAACGTGCATCCGCACTTTCCTTTCGATAATACACGCCAATTCTATAGATTATATAAATTATTATTGTTATAGTAAAATATTGTTTGCCTTGAGAATACCCTGATTTTCAAAATAAAAATAAATAGAAAAAGAGTGTTTTTCCGACTCGTTATAAACTTTATTACAAGAACCATTGAAGCTCATAAGTAATTTAATGTTAACGGACGAAAACTATGAGTTGGCTTTATTACAATTTACCGCGCGATATTCCAACCGTCGGGTGATAGCCGAAAGTTATCTAGATCAACTATTTAGTGCGCCAAAAGCATTATTTGGGGACGGCGGTTCCATCAGGAGATTACTGAATGTGGTGATCATATCAACTGGAGCATTACAAAATCTATCCTATGCTGTCGATCAATAGGACCCAATCATTTTACATTTGTTACAAAAAAAAGTTGGATCAACAGCTTAGGTCGCAATGGGAGTTGTTAGTGGATCCAACGGTATCAGAGTTCTTCCTTTAAGTTATCACAGAGAGGTGTGTCACGCTTTTAGGGTTAAAGGGCGAAAAATGCTCAGATACTGTGCAGGCGTTGTCTGGAACTGAAGTTTCGGCGGTGAGAGGCAGAGTGAATGTGGAGATACGTCCAGTCGACCAACAGTATCCTACGTTCAGTGTGGAAGTTTTGGTTTTAACACATATTACGAGCTCAGTCCTTAGAGAGCTGGCCAGTAGGTAAGACCTTATTTGTTTATAGTTATTTTTTGTCTAAATAATAGTTAAATAGGATAATATAATAAAATAGTAGTATAATAAGTAATTTCCGTGTTGAATTTGTTAAAATCCTCTATAAAGTCCTTCAAAATACTGAACACTCTCAAAGGAATCATGGTCACTTTTTAGTTAAATTGTATGGGCAAGAATATTTTAATATATTTTTAAATTTAGTTTTATTTATGTCGCTCGTGTATATTTGATAACCAATACCAGCTCCAATACTTTATATAATCTATACTCTAATTCGAACGTCCCAAAAATCGAATATTGTAAAAAATAACAAGTGTGTTTATAATTGTAAGCGATGATGTTTATTATAAAATGCATCGATATAATTATAAATTTGGATAAAAGTGTAGTTTTACAAAAATATTTTAAAATAATTACAATAGTACTGTTTAGTTTTTAATAAGTTACTCTTTTTATTCCCGGTCTAACTTATCATAACTGAAATGCAACTGTGTATTTTTTAACATAAACTTGATTGATCTTTTCATCCTAAGTATCAACTCCATAGCTAGTATATGATTTAACACTTCTGTCTACAGCAGTTAGCCGACAACTATAATCTTCCTTGCAAAACTTAGCGTTTATTATATATGATCTTGGGTTTTCTATACTTTTGACCATTCCTTTTAAGCGACACATCCTTAAATAGTAGCTGAACTCTGAATCTCGCGAATCTTAAACATAAAAAAATATTTTTTTTTAAATTGTGTAAAATTTAGCTACTACTTTTCTCATTGGACAAAGCACAGCTGCTAAATAATAAATAAATAAATATTATGTATTATGTTAGTTTCGTATATAACACTTATATTATTTTGTTTTTAAATGTGTGTTGCTGTGGTATGTGTGGTGGTTAGGTAAGGTACACAGTTACAAAAATATAATATTATAATAAACTCAACCAAATGCGTTCTGGGAGCTTAACAGGTTTAAATTCTTGGCCACTTGATTTCCGCAGAGGGAATTTAGTCCGAACCCAGAAAAAATTAAAGCGATAAAAAATTATCCAAGACCGACGACGGTCGAACAGCTACGGCGTTTTTTAGCTATGATGAATTTTTATAGACGCTTTATCGCTGGCGCTTCACAAACTCAAGCACCTCTTAATGAATATTTAGAAAATGAAAAAAAAATGACAAACGTGTGATGAACTGGTCTCCAGTAGCACAGTAGCAATTAGTGTTTTTGAAAAATGCAAAACCGATTTATCCGAAAATACCCTTCTTTCATTACCGAAAGAAAGCAGCGAAATATCGTTAATGGTCGACGTGTCTGGCACGGCAATTTTCAACCCCTTAAATTATAACAATTTAGCAACATCTCGGAATTCCCTCAATGAACTTCCTACATTATTAAAAACAGAAAATACATCGTTAAAACTCGCACATATTATTGTACCAACTACTAACGTAAAAATATTTTGCAATACATCCACGACAAATTAAAGGCCCTATTTAACAAAGCCGTTTAGAAACAAGTATTCAATAATTGACACGGTCTATACTTTTCGTTTGGCCATCGTTAAAAAAAGACTGTACTGAATGGACAAAAAAACGTGTATTGCATGCCAAAAATCAAAAGTACAACGCCATACAATGAGCCCGATAGGCACCTTCCCTTTGCCAAGTGTACGTTTCTCTCATTTGAATATTGACTTGATCAGGGCTCTCGTTATGTCTGAAGGCAATACATACTGCTTAACAGTAGTAGGCCGTTTTTCCCGTTGGCCGGATGCCTTTCCAATACCCGACATTAAAACGAAAACTGTCATTCGAGCACTATTCGCTGGAAGGATTGCACATCACGGCACCCCAGACTATTTTATCACCGATCAAGGCAGAGAATTCGAGTCTACAGCATTTAACAATTTTGCTGCAGCATTATGCGCTAAACGGATTTGTACGATGGCTTACCATCCGGCGGCAAATGGATTGGTCGAATGTCTACACCGGCTCTTAAAAGCAGCGATTAGGGCACACGAAAAGAACGTTGGGTAGAAGTCCTCCCTTTAATCCTGTTAGGTTTTCGGGCAAGCATCAAAGAAGACTTGGGTGTAACCCCAGCAGAGATGGTCTATGGACCATTCTATTACTTGTTACTTGTCCTCGTTGCGCACATAGCTACAGTATGTATATGTGTAAATGAATTATTATAGAAAAATAAAAGATTTTACAAATAAATTATTTTTATTTATTTGTATTGTGTCATCCAACGTAAGACACTCAACAACTTAATATTCCAATTCTGTATTAGTTACGATGCGGAGCTGAGAGGCTATTGATTTTACTAAGATGTAATGTGATCTTTAATTTAGATCATGCCAATATTTCTAAGGACACCTATTTAGAGAAATCTTGAACGGTTGTTGAATCTATTTTATTTTTTGTTTTGGAGTTACTATTGGTAAAATATTATATTTTCAAGTAAAAATCCCGGTATGCACAGTTGAAATACTGTAGGTGTCAATTTTTATTATCAATAATATTACCGTCGTAATTATCGAAATCATTCAGCAGCTCTTCTAGTTTTTCATTTGCAAACATACCTATACAAATAATGTCTATAGAGTAAAAACAAAGTAGTAAACAAAAAACCTCTCATAAGGGACACATGTTAAAAACGATATATGTATATATATATATGTGATACACACTTTACTAAGTATTGTATCGTGTTGTTAAGTATATAACTAGTTTTTAACTGCGAAGTACCATTAACACAAGTAAAATTAGTCAAATATGATCATTATATAATGAAAAAGAGTTCAGTACATTAGGAAGTGGAGACGGGGAGGTAACAGGTCTACAACAATAATTAATATAAATGAAAGTGGCATAACCATTATTTTTAAATAAATGCATCGATAATTGTCTGTGGACACTGGATCTCACTTAAATACCTGCCTCCCTACTGTGCTGGTTTATACTGAGTTTGGTTTGTACTGTACTGGTTTGTATTGATCTTGGTTTGAATTTACTATCCATAGATTCGCATCGAATGTTTTTAAAAATGGTTCGGGCGAATATTGAATGTCTTGATTAGGTTAACCGATGACAAATAAATTTTAAAATACCTTTCAAATGGTATATTTTGACTTTAACTTTTGTGTCTCAAAGCATTTATGAAAACCGATTAACTCATCAACAACACAGTCAAAAAACACACAAGTAATAACACTTTTTGAGATGTTTTTCCTACTGCTCAAATAAAAAAAAAACTAATATCTAATAATACAAAATTTTTTTAAATTTGATGTCGGTCAAAGTGATTTGTTCGACCCATTTTTTAGTAACGGTCAAAATATTTACCTTCATTTTTAGTTGCATAGTCAAATAATGATCGAACAGCTTTTCCAGTTTCAGATCTTCTCTCAGTTCCAAGTTCGGACAACTCATTAAAATCTGCAAAAATCAATAAAAAATTGTATTGATAATAAATATATATATATATAAATAAAAAATTATAATAGCATGTGATAAAGTTTTTAAAAAAATTATAATAATTTAAATTTTTGGAAAACCTGACATCGAAAAAAAAAACCCTTCTATATTTAAAAAACCGAGAACTTAATTATCATTATTAAAGAACGTTTAACTTAAGAATAACACATAACCATTGAAGTCTAACTTAGTCGATGAGAGGTAAATTAGTAAATTAAGGCGTGATAAGTTTGGTATTGTGAGAGCTTTATGAAGGAAGTTTTAGCTTGGTTGCGGTGCTGAAAGGTTATTGGTTTTAAAACTATGTGGTATTTTGTGTGCACTGTAACTTGTTTAATACTGGACAATTGAGTAGCAACTCTATAAGCCACAAATTTTATCTAGCTGATACTTTGGGAGGGGAGGGTAAAAATTAAAAAAATTCACTCCTTAACCCTTAAAATATGGAAAAACAAAAAAAAACGATACGAGTTTTTAATTATTAACTTTTACTAGCTTTAATTTCGAGAAAAAGGGTACAAATATTTTTCTGGTTGAATAAACGATTTTTGATTTTTCAACTTGTTCTGCGGCACGGATACTGGAAACATACATTTATTCTTTACAATTATTATTTAGACACAGATAATGTCACTGTATGAACTTAGTTCTTCCCAGACACTTAAAATAATATAACTAGGTCAATGTGAGAGATGGTGTTTTTGTTTTGGATGTATTTCTTGTTGGTGCATCGGTGTGTGACTAACGGGTAACTGTTTAAACAAGCACACAAAACACGTCAAAATATATGTTTTCTTCTCATTTCAACAAATAATATAACTTAAAACGTGATTTCAATGAGTTTCCGTATAGGGAAGTATACATATAATTATTTAGAATAGTAATAACATGGATAAAACCATATCATTTTTTCGAAAGGTTTTGAATGAACATACAAAAAATAAATAGTAAAATTAATAACGACCGGATGTGGTAGATTCTTTGATACCAATAATTGCAGCATTATGGATAAAAATAAAATGTACAACAAAAACAATTGGTTTTTTCGTTCTTCGTTCTTACCGAATTTCCCGTGACCTAGTAAATAGTATTTTAGTATTCTGTGTTTTTTAGCCTTAATTTTTGGACCTTTTAGTCGAACATCGGTCAAGAGTTAGAACTCATATGTATTCATAACATATTGAACAGATAAAAAATTAGGAGCTCTAGAGTTTGTAGTTTGTCAACGTTTATCGATAGTACTATAATTGAAGAATATTCCATACAAATTTATAATTCATTCGACTATTTTTTTTAAAAATGATTATGTTCTGCATTTTTAAATTGAATAATATGTACATTTTTGGGTGTTATTTATGAATTTTGAAGAATATGAAATGAGTAAGAAAAGGGCTAAAAAACAATATTGAATGAAAATTCGTTCGGACATTTGGAATTAATAGTGTCAACCTTATCCATTGCTCAAGCATCTAGTTAAAATTTAAAAAAAAATCAATTTAGTGATGAAAGAGCATAAAAAAAAAACTTAACAACAATATATTATATCAATTATTGCTAGTGACTAAAAATATTTAACCAGAATTTAAAATGCTATCTATCTCAAAAAAAAATGTGAAAAGGAAGTTGTCCGATAAAGTAACTTTACAAGTTCTAGCAATTATTTTTTTAATTTTAGCACACTTTGTTATGTTGATGTATTTACGTACACCTTTAGCATGATAATATTATAATTTATTTTTTTACGATGACAAAAAAATAATAGCATAAATCGATATTATTAAAATAAACGCTTTTTAATAATATTTTTTTTTACTTTTAGAAAAGAATACAACAAGTAGATAAGAACGAGAAAATTATGTTGTAAAATATCAATGATAATTAAAAAAAAAAATACAAGTTAGTTCAAAATGTTTTAAACAAATCTTTTAAGAAACAAGAAAAATGTTCAAAAAAATTCGAAAAAATTACAAGTAATATTATTTGAAAAATAATCTACTTAAATATTTATATATTTTTATCTTTGATCTTGAGATAAAATGGTATTAGTAATTGTATTTACAGTTGTGTGTTTTTTAATGTATAAAGATAGTTTATAAAATTAGAAATCATACCTGAATAACTCATCACTTGCTCTTGAGTATAAGGAGGTACTGAAAAAATTTCAAAATAATTTCATTATATTGTTTATTTATACTGAATCTGTTTGACACGGGTTAATATTCAGAAACAGCTATGAAATTTTGAGAATATTTTTTTTCATCATAAAAAACCAAAAAAATATGTGAAATAAAAAACTCGTAAGCAAGTCTAAAATAACGGCCACCCTAATATATATGTATATAGCTATCTAATATATATGATATATTATATACATATGTTAACTAAGACAATTACATAAATGCTTGATTACTTTGGTTTTCAATATCAGGCTCAGGAACAGCTGTAATACAAATATATAAAATAATTGTATAGTGAATAAAAATAAGTTGTTATAATTGCTCTTTAATGAACATAAAATATAGATAAGTATCCTGAATGGTTTGAATTATGTTTCGAAAAATCATCAAAACTTTAAGCATAAAAAATATAACTTTATGACATTTAATTAACTAATATTAAATTTTAACATATTTGTTTAGAACAAAATAATTATTATTTATGACAAATTTTTTTACAGATTTGCATCTGAGTTATTGTATTATTTTTAGGTAAACAATTCCTGAAGGTTATTAACTCCCCAACTTCTATATATTTCGCCCCTCATTAGGTTTTAAAGGGTTTTTATTAAAATTATGTAATAACCCTACTTAGAACGGTGAAATACAAATATACTATTTACGAAAATATTTTATAATAATTTGCGATTATAAAGTATCAAATGTATAATATTTGTCAAACAATGACTAAAAGCCATTACAAATAAATGTGGCACACAAATTTTGACAATTATACAAGGCATTTCTAAATTGCAGAGGAATGAAAAAGTAAAATAATTGAATAAAGCATTACTTTGGTTTTGAACATTAGGCACAGGAAGAGCTGTAACAAAAATATAAAATATTGAATTATTTTAGGTACAGTTACCATAAAACAGTTCTTATAATTCATGTAAACTAGCGATTAATGTTTTAAACTATCTCATAAGCGATCATCATTTTTTAGCAAAAAACATAAATGGATTTATGACTATGTCTCGAAATTGTATCATTTTTGTTTCCAACAAATAATTACAATTTTTTTAATTAATTGCATACAAATTTTAAGTTAGATATTTACATATGGCGTTGATTATTTCTCTTTGCATATCAGTCTGGTGTTTTATGCATTCTAAAATGTATAAAAAAAAATGTAATACACATATATTTTTAAAATAGAAATCAACATGTATGTAACATACATGTTAACAAGTATGTATAAATGTATAGCTGTTAACATATATACATACATAAAATCTCTTTAAAGTATCATAAATATAAAGTTTATAAATGTAATTACGCCACAGGTTTCCAGTGTTTGCATATTCTGAAACAAATATATTTCATACTTGATCATTATCAAAAAAACTACGAGAAGCTACTTCTATAAATGATTAGCAATATTATTACCCGGAACAAACAGCATAAAAGCAATTTTTTCTGAAATGACAATAACATAAATTGATAAATTATAAAAATATATATGTATATTTTTTTATTCTATTATAGATGCAATAAGTAGTTAAAGTTAGAAAAATCAAAAGTATTATTAATTCAGGACAAATTTGCAATGTGCATGGTTCCAGTAGAAAGATCTATAATAATTACTTAAGGTTTTAAAATGGTGACATTAGTATTGTTCTATAAAATAATTCTATTTAAATTTAAAGTAAAATTTAGGAAATACATGACTGACAAATTAGCAATGAGATACAAAATTATTCCAATTTTTGTATCACTTTCAAATAATGTTTTTCCACATTTTTTGTATACTATTATACGGTTATGATTACCCATTGACGCATTTCCACAAAGAATATTTGTAATAACAGTTTTCAACCCATCTAGGAAAAAATAAAATATAATGTTTTGAGGCATAAATATGTATTATTTAAAAATATATAAATCTTCACAATAAGAGTACACCGTGCAGGACTTCTACTTTAAGTATTTATATGAAATACTTGATTTTTATAAAAAGATGTATTTACATAGTGCTTAAAAGACTGGCTTTACACATTGCGTCTCCTCTTACAGATTATAAAAAAAATTATTTTATAATTTATAAATAATTTTAAATCAAGCAACGATAATAAAACAGCTTCATATCAGTATATTAACTGTGTATATTCATTACTTCTATGGGCACATTATTCTCAAAATTATCATACATATTTTGTAAGTCCGTTGTAAATTATTTCACAATAACGTTTGCTATTTTTTTATGTATATGTTAACTTGAAATAAATCTTACCTCCTGCAAGCTTAATGTGTTTATCTATAATAAGTTAATGTATAAAAATTGTAAAAATTAAAAACTGACGTATTTATTTTGTATGAAAAAATATTACTGACTTGTAATGTCCACTTCTCTTATGTAGTCCGCTGTAAAAAAATTGTGTTAAATATTATAAATTTGTTTATAATAAAATTTAGAGTATGTATCACTAATGAATTAGCATTGAGGTAAATAGTTATTTCGATTTTAATATCATTTTCACGAATTGTTTTTTACTAGCCATCTTTATCTCTACTTTTTTTAAATTTTATATCTATATTTACCCATTGATGGATTTCCATAAACAATACTTGTTATAACAGTCTGAAATTTATCTAGAAAAAACATTGAAATGGTTTGAGGTATAGAAATGTATTATTTAAATATAAAATCATAAAAAATGTATAGATCTTTACAACAAGGATAAACTACTACTATTTAAGCGTTGACCATGAAACAACACTAAACTTAGGTTAAACCACCACTGCCTATAGCTAAGCGTGCTCTAAGTAAATTACTGAAGCTGCTATTTTAAGTATATATTTAAGTGATTTGATTTTCGGTAATAAAGTATATTATACACGGTTCTTGAGCACTGACACTATACGATGCGCACGCACATAAACTATACAGTATACACATTATAGAAATTATTAGTTTTAATTAATTAATCAGGCCAAGGTGACTACCCGTACATAATTTTATAGCAACGCATTGTTAATTTTAAGCATAACTTACCTGCTACAGCTTGCTCAATGTGTTTATCTGTAATACACAATTGAATACATTTGTATGTACAAAAATAGTAAAAATTAAATAGTCTAAAGCTGTTTGTGTGAAAAAATGTTTTACTGACTTCTAAAAATAGACGTCTTTATGGAGTCCACTGAAAAATAAACGTTAATCTTGAATTTCTTAGAACTTTAATTACCTTGAGTAGCTACTAGGTACATGTAAATAAGATATAATTACCTATATTAACTGCCAAAATATTTACAAATGTATACGATATTAAAACACAGTAAATTTGCATTTTTATCTGAAATATATAGTAATAAGCCTTTAATCGTTTTGTATTAAACATAATGGCTAAATAGCTATATTAGCTACGATGTGTGGATGGGAAGGTTTTAGTTTTATATAATAACTTAACTATTGGCCGGTTGTCGTTATAGAGCAAGTCAATACTAGGTGATCAATTTAATGTAAGAAATTGATTTTCCCTTACGATAATAGCAATTATGTCGTTTTTCTACTTGGAGACACTAGTTAATTTTATTTAAAAATATTAGACAATATTCGAGCTTTTACCATTTTAATTTATTTCCAGTGCTCTATGAGCTTAAAATTTAAAACGTTAATTAAATATATACTATAATAATGGTTTAGTACTTTAATAATATAAATAAATATGTTTTCAAAAAGGAAACCGCAATAATTCAATTTTTTTTTCGTAATAACGAGAGTCTTACAAAAATTTATCACCTGTAGATGAGATATCATACCTGAAATATACTTTAAAAGGCAAATAATAAAAAATGTAAGTCTTCATATTATTATCGAGAAAAACATTTTAAAAACGTATTCAAGTAGTCAAAATACTTATAATACGGTAGTTGATATTCTTCAGTTATAATATCATCGGTATACAATGCAAAAAATGATGACATTCATTGTGGGACTACAATATATAAACATTTTTTCTGCTGATTCAAAATCAGTGATAAGAGACCCCCTAAAGATAGTAAATACATTAAGCCCAATAAAGTAGCTCTTAGGTTCGGTTCTAAGCTATAGACGTGCTAAATGATAAATTGGCGTACAATTTTTTTAGTATAGTATTTATGAAATTGGCCGAGTGGTAAAATTTACCCTATGTCTGTATAAAATATATGTACTAAATGTGTACTTACAACATTCGAAGATGGATGAAGATAAATTTGATCGACTTGTCAAACTAGCTGTAACAAAGTGATTTTCTTGCGACTTGCCCGTGGGATTCTATGCCGACCGAAAAATATGTAAAATGCCAATATATTTTGCAGTATGCAAATATATTGTAGTGTTTATGGATTTTGTGATCACGTCTACACTACTGCGTACCAAAATTAAATAACAAAACATAAAAACAAGGTGTATCATACCTCCTACGTTGAGTAAATAAACACAATGAAAAATATCAAGTCGCGTTTTTATGATGCATTTGCGCTTATACTATTAAAAGACTGAGTGTCACGAGACACGTGATTTAAGTTTAAAAAATCTGATCATTTTTTTTTCTGTATAGTACAAAAAGAGCGACGTTATTCTATATCGAATACTTTAACTGTTTTTAAATTTGTTCTGTAGTATGAAAGCCCAGTCGCTCAGTGGTCGAGACGGGGTACCAATACTAAAACGGCCGGTTCAATCATTAACACAGATCTAATATATTTTTTCCAAATGGCTTGCTTGCGGATTTTAATTCTGTAAATTTGTTGTACAAAAGCCTTTAGTTCACGACCACGTTACTGTCGTATACAGTATTAACTCGATACGCACAACGTGATACCTTTTAAAGATGTTATACTAGGATCCTTTAAAGTTGATCAAAGCCAATGCCCAGCCGTTTAAACCTTCCGGAACTATACTTCAGCCAGACGACTAACCCACACTAAGTAGTAATCGACCAGACGCCTAATACGGGTTTAATCGTAATTAGGGACTATATTCAATTATACCTAGTGCAAGATTAATGACTATTTCCGTAAAAGGTTGTCCTAGCACACGTTATTTAAAAGGTAAACTTTAACACTTAAAAATGAGACACTTAAGGTAACGTTAATAAATAAATACGCAAGTCGAAAATATACTTTAAAAATAAAGTATAATGGCACAAAACAACAGTCGATACAATAAGTTCTCCGCCTAGTTAATGCTAAGCGGAGAGACCTTCCCCGGGCCAAGCCCAAGAGAGTCCTCCTGACATCATAATTTGTACGGCTTTAAATAATAGAAATAAATATAATTCTCGCTGTATAAACATTTTAACTGTTTGCCATTTGGCCTAGATACATTGCTTAGTTTCATAATTGTATTATAATAATAATAATAATAAAACTATTTTCCCTCGCTCCTACTACATTACCTAATGACTAATAATTATGATATCGAAATGGAATTTTCACAGAACAGTTGTAATTTGAGTGTTCTTTTTTATAATATACTTAAAAAAAAAATGTTCAAAATTTTAAGTAGATAAAAATTAAAAACAAATTTCAAATTATATGAATTTCATTAATTACGTATGCCGGCTCAAGGTCAAAATTTAAAAAAATTCATAATTTATTTGAACTTTTCTGTTTGCAATGTATAAGTATCTTCAAAGTTTGGTGTAGCTCTAAAAAAAGAAAAGTGTAAAATTCAAGTTCTTACAACTCTAGTGAAAAAAAGTCTCTATTACCAAACTTTTACCATACAGAAATATGATGTAAAAAAAATTAGGAATTAAAATAGAGTAATTAGATGTGTCAGAATAAAAACATTTTTTTTTTTTGAAATTTTGACCTTGAGTATGCATAAAAATCTGATGAAATTTATACATTTTTGAATTCCTCTTTCAATTTTGAACTACTTTAAATTAAAAAAAAAAATTTTTTAAGCATAATATGAAAAAGATCAATTAAATTACAATTGTTCAGCGAAAATTCCATTTCGATATCATAATTAGTCATTAAGTAAACTGGTATTGAACTTACGGCGTTTTTACAAGCATTCAAAGTTAAAAAAAATATTGACTAGATAGTGTGCAAAATGACCGAAACTTGCTAGAAATAAAATATAATGGCGAAGAAATGGAAACATACACATATGTGTATATTATAAATAGAAACAATTGGTGTTTGTGATATGAGGCTCATATGACGAAAAGGCAACAAAAAGTGACTGAAAGTAAAACGGTAAAAACAGTTTATTATACAATATATTAACTTAATTAGCTTGTTAACCTACAACTAATCTTTAATAAGCTATCACTATCCTTTATGGTCTAAATTATTATAACAGAAAAGACTATTTTTTATTATTGACTTAACCTAAATATCATCCCAATCAGTAGTATATGATTTAACACTTTTGTCTACAGCAGTTAGCCAACAGTTTTGATCTTCCTTGCGATACTCAGCTTCTATTATATATAAACTTGGGTTTTCAATACTTTCGACTAATCCTGTTAATCGACACATCCGTGAATAGCAGCAGAATGGTGACGTTACTGAATCTTAAACATGTAAAAAGTTTGTTTTAATTTTTTTAATTAGTTTACTTATTATCTTTTTTTCTAATGTGCAATGAAAAATAACACAGTATACAGAGGGTCCACTGTCGGTACTGTATAGCCATGTTAAAAAATAAAAGTTTATAGATATTGATAGTTTGTATCAACTTATGCATGATGATCCAGGTAAGACTCTATATCTCGTAAAATAATTGTAATTCTGTTTTTTTTGATAACTGATAACATTTTTGTAAACGTTATTTTACAACATTATAAAAATTGTAATTATTAAATAATTAGCTTTTTTAGTATTTTGTATTGCTTTATCAACTTTTGGAACTTAAATGAGAAGGTATTATAAAAGACAACACATTTCAACCGGTTGCAAATAAATACATGAATGTGATTGCTGGAATACAATTTTTCGAGGTACGGGTTAAGACGGGATGGATAATTTTTTTAATTTATTTGATGTTGGTCGAAATAGTTTGTCTGATCTATTTTCCAGAATGGGTTTACAATGGGTGAAAAGGAAAAACGAATACAAGTATATTAGAATATTTACCTTTATTTTGTATAGCATAGTCCAACAAAGATCGAATAGCTTTTTCAGTAATAGATCTTCTATCATTTCCAAGATCTTTTAAATTATCAAAATCTACAAAAGTTAAAATACTCAATTGTGTTGATAATTATAAATTTAAGATAAAAAAACAAAACATAACAATTGTTCATGACATAATTATGTTTATTTTGAAGAAAAAAATTGTAATAATATAAATTTCTTATACAACCTGCAATCGAAAAAAAAAACTTTCCATACTTGGAACTTAATGAACTAATTAGTATTATTTAAGTGTTTATAATTTAAGAATAACCATTGAAATTGACCTGAATTTAAGAGAAGCGAAAGGGTTTATTAAGAAGTGACAATTTTTTTATTAGGGATTAATCAATGATAATATTTTTTTTCTATTTGCTTATCAATTTTTCATTAGGATTAAAAATGGTAGATAAAAAACCGATAACAGTGTTGTAAAATATAAGTAATAAAAAAAAATGCTTAAAAATTATCTAAATATATTCGACTAAATTACAAATTATATTTTTAAACCGTTCAATTATAATTAAATATTAATACATTTTTAGCTTTTATCTGGGGCTAAAATGGTATCGACAATTGTATTTACAGCTGTGTGTTTTTTAATTTATTTAGGAAGCTTATAAATCTTACCTAAATAACTCACCACTTGCCCTTTAGAATACAGAGGAACTGAAAAAATGTAAAAATGAATTTCATTATATACTGTTAATTCGAATATTGGCAACGGCAGCACCAAAAATTGTTGCAATGTTTTTATCGATATTTGATATTTCTAACGTTCATAAATATTCATCAAAGCGTTTATTTGAAAGTTATGTATCACTTTTCAGTATAGTAATTCATTAAAAGATTAAGACCTTCCTGACCCCTAAAAGCTCCGTTTCCATAATTTTTTTTTTTTTATTAATGCAATTTACGACCATCAAATAAATGTGTGATTACTTTGGTTTTCAATATCTGGTACAGGAAGAGCTGCCACAAAAATATGTCAAATAGTTAATAATATATTATATAGTGAATAAAAATAAGTTTTCATAGTTGATCCGTTGAACAGTCACTCTACAGTAGCTGGCATTACTTAGGCCAATTATAAATGGTTTTAGCTATGTCTCGAACGATCATCAACGCTATGTAATAACCCTAATAAAAAAAAACGAGGACATTTCAAAATACTGTTCTCGCAAATGAATAAAATAAAAGATATTTGTCTGCCAATGGCCAAATTAGAAATAAATATTGCACACGAATTCCGACTATTGGGTACAGGTTATGGCTAAATTTGCGGTTTTAAACATTTTTAATAAAATTACGATTTTTTTAAGTAGGTTGTTATTTTTTAAGCCAGTTGAAGTAATACTGTTCAACTTCCACAAATTCTATCGATGATCTAATAGTTAAACAACTATCGATAAAAGCATTATTACTTGGGTTTTCAACATCTGGCACAGGAAGAGCTGTAACATAAATATACAGTTATATAAAATTTAAAAAATGTACATTTAATATAAACCAGTTCTTATAATTTATTTCTAACAATCACTTAGATCACTTTTTAGACAAATTATTATTGTTTTTTTTTTTTTTTAAACAACCATCAAAACTCTATTTAATAAATATACATGACTGAAAAAATTCATGACTCTAAATTAAATTTATCGTTTTTCCTTAAAACATTAATTTTGAAAAAATGATCACAAGTTAAATTTTATGTTTACTTATAACATTGGATATTTCTTTTTGCATATCAGTCTGGTCTTTAATGCATTCTACAGTTTAAAAAAAAATAATTACTGTACATCTCTTCTTATAAAATCAATCAATTTTTAAGTGTAAAATATGAAATTTATAAAAGTAATTACGCGTTAGGTTTTTAGTGTTTGCACTTTCTGAAATCAATACAAAAATAATTTATATTTAACGGTTATCAAAAATACATGCGGAACTACTTCGATAAATTATTAGGAATATATTGTTACCCGGTACAACCAACATAAAAGCTATTTTTTCTGAAATGACAATAACATAAATTAATGAATTACTATTATTGTATAGTTTTTTTATTTTTCTATAAATAGAAGACGGAGTGAAAGGTAGAATAATCAAAAGTATTATTAATCTATTACAATACATAACACGAAGACTAATGAAAGTAGATATGGCGAGTATAATAAAATATAATGATTGGATAAAGTTTAAACAGATATATCATCAGTGTTGTTAAATATTCCATT